GGACGGCTCGCCGGCACCTCCTCGGGAAACGAGGCTGCTCATTTCTGAGCCTGCATACAGATTTAGGTGCCGAGCTTGGAAAAGCGTGGCCTAGATTGTGCTTTATTAATAGGCTAATTGAGTCTCTGCGTGTGTCATCCATCACTGTCAAACGCAACCACAGCCTGGTACGGGCTGCGTGCCCGGCTCAGGTACAAGGGCACAGAACGGAACGCAGTAACGAAACCTGCCAGAACAAAAATCCCTTTTCCTGACTTAGAGCAAGCTATTGTTCTTTCATTAAATAATACTCATTTTTTCCAAGGAGGACTGAGGCAGCAACACGGAGCTGGAGAAGAGAGGAACTGCAGCAGCACCTCCTGAGCAGCAGAACGAACACGCGAGCGCCGCTCGCCTCTCGGGCACGGAATGACCTTCCCGGATGAGCTGTCACGTGCGTGAGGGAGACTGGACCTCCTCCTGCATTATGTACAAAATAGTAATAAATACTGATTTTACTTTCTTCCCCCAGAAAAGATTACTTCCCAGGCTGAACTAAAGGGATGTTTGACACGGGTTAAACCAACTGACCACACAGCAGGAGTTGCACTTGCATAAATAAAGACGTACTCGTAAATTGTTCCAAATTAGACCTGAAGGGCTGTTATAACCAAAGCAGCTGCCGCAACACGCGCAACCTCCCTTCCGCTCTGCTGCCAGCGCTGCGTGGCACATCTGGCACTGCGTGGCACATCTGGCAGACGTGGCACATCTGGCAGCTCTGCCCGGGACCCTGCCCTGCCGCGGGCAGCCCCGGCCCCGCACGCCGCTCAGTGCGCTGCAGCACCGTGGGCTGCGTCCTCCTCACGCTCAGGAAAGTCTGTTGCAGGCAACAGCCACGGAAAAAGCCAGAGAAGGCTGCGGACGCGTGAACCTTTCTCGCAGAGGGGATGACTTCGCCTCCCCCGGCGTCATGGCCCTCCTCACCTCCCAAAGCCAGTTTTGCAGAGATTTGCTCCAGGCTCCTCTCCCTTTCCCTGCCCGTGCCCCAAATTAGCACGAGCATCCGCCTAACGCCTTTCTCTGCAATTTTAACACAGAGAAATCACAACAGAAGACAAATGAGACATCCCCCCCAGTCCAATGGAATATGGTGAAAGCGTAAAAATGCAAACGGCTTTACAGGGGGAAACGCTTTCCCTTTGATCTCTCTAACTTGCATTAAACATACTCTAAATTAATCATTATGAATATGTCTTTCAGGAAATTATCTGAACTGTCTTTACAAATCACAACTTGAAAGAGCTGTCTATTGCATAATATCAGCTTAAGTATCCTACGTTTTGATCTTTATAGGTTCTTATAAAATAAGACTTACATCTGTCTTAAGGTTTGCAAGTTTTTCAGGTCAGCCTTCCAGGGTACAGCGGTCTAACGGAGGGACTGTCACCAGCTGCACCATTAGCAGCCCCGGCTCGCACACCCCGGCAGCGCCGCACACCGAGCCGACACGCACCGTGCAAAGTTATTTGCCGCTGAACACTAACAGCTGCCAATGACTTTTCTCCAACTTAAACTTCTGTTAACACATGGAAGCTTGAGGAACTGCAGATAAGCACGGCATCATGTCCCGACACAGCCGGGACCGTGAGGTGTAGGGACAGGCAGGGACCGAGCAGGGCAGCAGGAGCGTTGCCGGTGCAGGCAGCGGGGCCGAGGCGGCGCAGCGGCTGTGCCAGGAGCCAGCGTGGCTGC